CCCCACCAGCCCCATAGCTAAGAACAAGGAGACCCCCCACACCAAGAGTTTATTTCGCACAATCTGCTCTCCTCCGGTGACAACACATCATCATGTCACAATCTATGTGACCCCAGAGACCGGAAATCCCCCATTTCACAGCAGTCACAAGTGCGTCACAGAGAGAAGTGAGAACTACTGTGACAATGTAACAATCTTCATGAATCCCCCGATGATGGAGGGGACCCGATACATTGTGCGATCAAGCCAAGCTGTCATCTGCGGAGGGATGACAAGGACAGACGAGCGATGGAAGATCAGAGGGGTGTCTGCAGATCTATACGTGTATGGCAAGCGCATCTATAATGAATGGAGTGCCGATCAATGGATCGGGTGCAGCTGCCCCATCAATCACTCGCTGACCATCGCACAATACACACAGCGACCCAATCAGCGGATCGCTGCCTCATCACCATCGGAGTACAGCTGCAATTAAATCTGACAGTGATTGCTCACTGACTGCAATCCGATCGTACAGAAATTGCATTATTGATCTAGGCTGATCGGTGCAGGAAATTCCAATATACGGATCATTGCCAGGACTGATCGCTCACCTACGGAGGAAGCTTGGAATGATCCGAGTGACAGTATCCCGGGAATAAGAGGATCCGGAAGATGAGTGGAATGAGGGCGTACCGGGGGAGATCCGCTTAGCGGCGGTTGTACGGCTCCGGCAGAGATCAGCGCGACACACACCTTCCTTCTCCCACCGGCGCCCTGCGCCTCCTGAAACACAGCACTCCGGGAGCACCGTTATAGCTTCTCATACTATCATGTGATCAGGCCGGGAGCAGCCAATCACAGAGCGCGGTAATTATGGGACAGCCAATCAGATCTGCAGGGGCGGGGCCGAATGGGATCTCCTCTCCTGCGAGCCACGCAGCAGACCGCATGAGTGAGATCAGACGGCGGTGGTGCGTCATCAGGGTCACGTGTTCCCCCCGCCGCCGCCGGGTGCTGCTGAGATCTGCCAGAGCTGTGTGTGCGGGGGACATGGAGCTGCATGGAGTGTATAGAGCTGCATGGAGTGTATAGAGCCTCATGGAGCTTCACAGTACGCAGATCTAAATACAGTATACAGAGCCATAGTATAAATCGAGTTACATGCAGTATGTGAAGCTACAGTATATAGAGTCACAGTATATAGAACCATAATATACAGAGCTATATACAGTATATAGAGCCATAGTATAAACATAGTCACATGCAGTATATAGACAGTATATAGAACCATAATATACAGTGTATATACTCATACATGTACCAGGGTTGGGGGATAAATCCCGGTGTCTGCACAATTCTTGGCTGTGTTCACAAATGTCTGACACAGATTAGCCCCTGCTGTAGCCTCTCACCCTGTGACTGGATACAAAGTTACACTGGGGGAGGGGAGACTGAGGAAATGCTTCCTCCTGCCAGCAGCAGACTGACCACTGCGGGAGGGGAGACTGAGGAAATGCTTCCTCCTGCCTGCAGCAGCAGACTGATCACTGGGGGAGGGGAGACTGAGGAAATGCTTCCTCCTGCAGAACCTTTTTTGTGCTGCCACTAGATGTCCTCAGTCTGATGATTGACATTGTTCAGCTCGCTTCTTCTGAGCCCATGTCGTCCTGGACCTGCCCCCAGCCTGTGATTGGACAGTGAAAGGAGCAGTAGCACAGTGATGAGCTCACTCTGCTCTCTCCTCCTGTCAACATGCAGCAGTTCAGAACATGAACTGATTGGCTCCTTGTGCTGCTGCTTCCGCTCTCCCTCCAGCCCTGCTGTACAGCGGCTGCAATAGGCTGACTCCGGGTCACATGGGATGATTCCAGCTTCCATCACATAAAAGGGAATATGGAGTGACACGGGCCGCCATCGCTGTCCTCTGCTCTGGAATGTGCCGGCTCCCTGGTTGTCATGGTGATCCTCCGGATTCAGCACTTTCCATGACACTGACCCAGAGGGAATATGAAAGTTGTGTCACATGTCTGAGCCCTTCATTCCCGGAGAGTGAGCTCAGCAAGAAGGACTCTGCCGCCGGATCAGAGAAGGTGATTGGCTGTCACTCTTCCCCGAATCTCTGCTCAGTCACCCGAGCCGGGAAAGACATTTAACCCCGTCATGGCTGGCTGGGCGACAGTGTCGGGTTCCCTCTATAAACAGCTGCAGTTCATGGTACTTAAAGGGTCAGTCCACCTTCACATCACCATTCCTGTGGGCTGTGCGAGGCCTCTCCCCAGCCAGAGACTGCAGGAGCAGGAGATGGGCAGAGACTGCGGAGATGGGGCAGCAGATGGGCAGAGACTGCGGACATGGAGCAGGAGATGGGCAGAGACTGCAGACATGGAGCAGGAGATGGGCAGAGACTGCGGACATGGAGCAGGAGATGGGCAGAGACTGCAGACATGGAGCAGGAGATGGGCAGAGACTGCAGAGATGGGGCAGGAGATGAACAGAGACAGCGGACATGGAGCAGGAGATGGGCAGAGACTACAGACATGGAGCAGGAGATGGGCAGAGACTGCAGACATGGAGCAGGAGATGGGCAGAGACTGCAGAGATGGGGCAGGAGATGGGCAGAGACTGCGGAGATGGGGCAGGAGATGGGCAGAGACTACAGACATGGAGCAGGAGATGGGCAGAGACTGCGGACATGGAGCAGGAGATGGGCAGAGACTGCAGACATGGAGCAGGAGATGGGCAGAGACTGCGGAGATGGGGCAGGAGATGGGCAGAGACTGCAGACATGGAGCAGGAGATGGGCAGAGACTGCGGAGATGGGGCAGCAGATGGGCAGAGACTGCGGACATGGAGCAGGAGATGGGCAGAGACTGCAGACATGGAGCAGGAGATGGGCAGAGACTGCGGACATGGAGCAGGAGATGGGCAGAGACTGCAGACATGGAGCAGGAGATGGGCAGAGACTGCGGAGATGGGCAGAGACTGCGGAGATTGGGCAGGAGATGGGCAGAGACAGCAGACATGGAGCAGGAGATGGACACAGACTGCGGACACGGAGCAGGAGATGAACAGAGACAGCAGAGATGGGGCAGGAGATGGGCAGAGACTGCAGACATGGAGCAGGAATGGGCAGAGACTGCGGAGATGGAGCAAGAGATGGGCAGAGACTACAGACATGGAGCAGGAGATGGGCAGAGACTGCGGAGATGGGCAGAGACTGCAGACATGGAGCAGGGAGCAGGAGATGGGCAGAGACTGCGGAGATGGGCAGAGACTGCAGACATGGAGCAGGGAGCAGGAGATGGGCAGAGACTGCGGAGATGGGCAGAGACTGCAGACATGGAGCAGGGAGCAGGAGATGGGCAGAGACTGCGGAGATGGGCAGAGACTGCAGACATGGAGCAGGGAGCAGGAGATGGGCAGAGACTGCGGAGATGGGCAGAGACTGCAGACATGGAGCAGGGAGCAGGAGATGGGCAGAGACTGCGGAGATGGGCAGAGACTGCAGACATGGAGCAGGGAGCAGGAGATGGGCAGAGACTGCGGAGATGGGCAGAGACTGCAGACATGGAGCAGGGAGCAGGAGATGGGCAGAGACTGCGGAGATGGGCAGAGACTGCAGACATGGAGCAGGGAGCAGGAGATGGGCAGAGACTGCGGAGATGGGCAGAGACTGCAGACATGGAGCAGGGAGCAGGAGATGGGCAGAGACTGCGGAGATGGGCAGAGACTGCAGACATGGAGCAGGGAGCAGGAGATGGGCAGAGACTGCGGAGATGGG